GAAACGGTGAGTTGGCACTCTTCCTTCCTCTCTCTCTCTCTCTCTCTCTCTCTCTCTTTGTTCGTCCGCGTTCTGTCGCTGGTCGTGGTTCTTTTGAACGTCCGACTCCGGGCTTGGCGGGGGGTGGACTGGGGCCTTTCTCCACAGTGAATCAAACATGATCGAGACTTACATACTTGAACCGTTGGCTGACCGTGGACCGCGTGCTGGTAGCATTCATACTATACAGACAACATCACCAGGCTCAGGTCGTCTCTGAGCACCCCGGGCTCGCCAACCCGGACATCTCCAAGATCATCGGGGAGCAGTGGCGACAGCAGCCGGACAACGTCAAAGCCGGCTGGAAGAAGCTCGCCGAAGAGGAGAAGGTGCGCCACCAGCAGCAGTATCCGGACTACCGGTACCAGCCCCGGCGCGGCCAACGTCCAACGGGACGGCCGGGCACAGCAGCGGGCGAAGACTCGGGGCGGTGTCCCAAGTGCGGAGGACGGTACATCTCGACGCCGAGGACCCCTCAGACGCCGGTGCTGACGCCGACGGCAGCGAAACCTGCCATGAATCCGTACCAGGCGAGAGATGGGAGGGCGTACGAGGGAGAGCCATCAAGACAGGCGCTGCCGCAGGGCAGACAGACGAACCCCTATGGCCAGGCCCACCCAGGGGAGATGGAGGAGAACTGGGATATCGCCTCGCCAGCTGTCGATGCTAAACGCCGCCGATTCAACACGACTGGCCACTACCAGGGCATGTCGTCGCCGAACCCGTACCAAGGTCACCAATCCTCAAGACATTCAAGACAGGCGTCCGCCGCAGGGGCTTCCAGTGCCGGCCATGGCTACGGGCCAGCGCCACTACCTGGCCCGCCAGGTATGGGCCAACCTGGTCAAGGTCCCATGCCGCCGCCGCCTCGCCCGCCACACTCGCAACACTTCCCAGGCCAAGGTCCGGGCCGCAACCCAAATTATGACGAGAGTCTTCGCCTTCCGCCCCTGCAAACGCAAATGGCTCCAAAGACGCCATCGGGTCAAGGCGAGTCTGACAACCGTGGCGCCGACCCACTTGGGCTAGGCATGACAGCGACGAATCCCGTAGATAGCCAAGCGCGAAGCACAGAGGCCGTCGTCATGAACATTTCGTTCCAGAGCAAGCTCAACGTGCTGAGGAAGATCAGCCCGCCTCTGGCCCCAGCTGGGTCCGCGAGCCCAGGCGCAGAGACCCGCGGCGCGGTCATCGCTGTCGAGGGCCCAGACGAGCGGCTCCTCGAGCAGGTCGACGCCGCGCTCCAGCGAGGCCTGTCGGAAGCCCAAGTGATCAACCTCCAATGCTGGCGTGACGACAGCAGCACCATCGGCAAGACGGAAGATGTCGTCGTCGCTGAAGGCAGCAGCTCGGCAGGTAGCAGTCGCAAGAGCAGCATCGAGGGCGTCGCGCTGTCCGACATGTATGTCGACTACATGCAGAAGCTGTCGCAGTGGCACGGCAAGTCAAAACAGATGGTCAAGCACATCACGACGCGATCCGAGCAACAGCAGCGGTCAGTGCCCGTGAGGAGGGCATCGGAAGGCGAGGTTAGCACACCGCGCGAGGAGTCATCATCGCCGAGCATGATCCCCGTCGCTCTCGTGACGGGCGGATACAGCGCGACCATTGCTGACCGGTACGCGTGCCGCGTGCCCATTGTCGACTCGTACGCGCCCGTGGACCACTGGCAGTGGATGGCGACGCTGTGGCGGGGGGTCGTTGGAGCCGACCTGGTGGTCTATGTCAAACCGAGTGCGGAGGACGAGGTCGCGCGGCTCGGCATGCTCGACTTTGTGGAGTCTGGCATCATGCTTCTCAGAATTGCTCCAGGGAAAGGTCTTGATGACAGGAGTTCGCGTCGTCTCTCGTTCGAAGTGATTGATTGGCTATGCAGCGGGAACTACAAGAAAGAGTCAGCTGGCCCGAGCTGATGGCTCAGGAATGTCGCCAAAAGTCGAGCTTGTACGTAATATGATGGTTCATCTTCTCTTCAAGGAGTTGGTTCGTTGTGTCCAATGCCAGATGGAGGGGCGGTGTCTTGGCTTGTCCATACAGCAGTAGCACGACTGGCACAAGACGCGTCTTTCCTTTTGATATCAAGTGGCTCCATTGATGCGTGAATATGGCTGTTTGAATGGCTTCGTCGTCATCTTTGTGCTCCTCTGATCGAACAATGCGTTGTGTCGAGGACATAGAAGTCATCGCTGTTCGGGGAAGGGGTGGTTTCGTTGATTGTCGTTGAGCGATGACATAAGCAGCACCTTTAACTCCATATCGCAGATGACGAATGTTGACAGGGGCACGTCGCGGTTAAGCGAACGCGTCTGTTTGGTCCCCCCCCGGTTCACCTGTGATGCCTTGTTACCTACTTACCTAGCTCAGGAGCTCCAAGCATCCGGCAGTAGCCTTCCCCCGAACCAGCACCAGCATGTTGACCTCTCGATGAGGATCCGAGAATGTCAGATCTAGCAGTCGGTCAGATCGTTCAGCTGACCGACGGCCGCAATGGCGTCGTACGCTTCGCCGGCACCACCCATTTCGCCTCGGGCGAATGGGTCGGCATTGAATTGGAAGATGACTCTGGAAAGAACGACGGCAGCGTCCAGGGCGAGCGCTACTTTGACTGTTCCATGGGACGAGGCATGTTTGTGCGGCCGTCGACCCTGACTATTCTCGCCCAGGCTCCAGCTCCAGCTGCGGCGCCGGCCGCCCGACCTACCGTCAGGAAGACGAGCAGGCCCAGCAGCTTCGTGCCCGGCACGGGCAGGGTGCCGAGTGTCACCGACCCGAGCATGGTCAAGCGGATGAGTCTGAACGCTGCTAGTCCCAGCCCGGCCCCGCGCACATCTCGACCTGCGAGCGTCGTACGGGTGAGTGAGCATCATGGGCAGAGGAAGATTCCATCGGCGAAGTAGACTTGTTGCCATGCTGACTCGCACTCTCTCAGTCTCCTACGAAGTCGCCAACGAAGCAAATTGGTTCGACCACCTCGAGCACCGCACCCTCCCGGACCGGCACACCTTCGAACGCCAAAGGCACCGCTGCCACGAGAACTCGCCCGGCAGTAGGTGTTCGCACCTCCATGGGGCCCCCTCCGATCCCTCCCGCACGAGTGACCCGACAGCCATCAACATCGTCAGCAACAGGTCGCCCTCCCGCGAGGCCGCTTTCCAACCGCCTCTCCTTGTCCGGTTCGCGCAACGTGCCCAAGCCAGATCCCCTCCGACGCCCATCGGCCGATTCGCAAGCAGGCAGGGAGCCCGGTTCGGCAGCAGACAGCGGCGACGACGGCAGGAGCAGCTCGCCATCTAAGGGACCGGCTGATCTGGCCTCACCGCATGCCACGAGCCCGGTGCAGGCTCGGACCAACGCGCTCGAGCGGTTGACCTCGGGCAGGACGGCGACCACGACAGCACGGTCGCCGGCCACGGCCTCTCCGCGAACGGCCGGCGGGAACACGGCTGCGGCGCGGGAGAACGAAGACCTCAAGGCGAAGCTCCGTGTCATGGAGCGCAAGAGATTGGAAGACCGGGAGAAGCTGAAGCAGCTGGAGAAGCTCCAAGGCGAACGCGACAAGTTTGAGTCGATCATCCAGAAGCTGCAGACAAAGTACCAACCCCAGCAAACAGAGAATGCAGGAGCTCCGCAAGCAGATCAAGGAGGCCGAGACGCGGTTCGAGGCCGTGGAGCAGATGCAGGCCGAGCATGAGACGGCCCTGGAGCTGGCCACGCTGGACCGTGAGATGGCGGAAGAGACGGCCGAGGTGCTCAAGGCTGAGCTCGAAGCGTTGAAGCAGAAATCAGAGGAGCTTGAGTTAGAGGTGGAAATCTTGCGAGAGGAGAACGAGGAGTTTAGCCAGGGCATGACCCCCGAAGAGCGGTCAAGCACGGGCTGGCTGCAGATGGAGAGGACGAACGAGCGGTTGAGGGAAGCACTGATACGATTGCGCGACCTGACCCAGGCTCAAGAAGCCGAACTTCGAGACCAGATCAAGGCCTTGGAGTCTGACCTGCAAGACTACAGTACCGTGCAGGAGCAGTTCGAGGCCTCCAAGGAAAAGCTGGCGCAGTCCGAAAGCGCGGTCGAGGATCTTCGACAACAGCTCGACAATGCTCTCGGAGCTGAGGACATGATTGAGGACCTCACCGAGCGCAACATGAGCATGGCCGAAGAGATTGAGGAGCTCAAGGCCGTCATCGAGGATCTCGAAAACCTCAAGGAGATCAATGACGAGCTCGAGATCAACCACGTACAAAACGAGAAGGAGATGCAGGAGGAACTCGACTTCAAAGACAGCGTCATTACGGAACAGGCCCGACGAGCCGGCCAGCAAGAGGAAGCCCTTGAAGATATGGAGTACACCCTTTCGAGGTTCAGAGAACTCGTCACGAGCCTGCAGGGCGACCTCGAGGACATGCGCGCGTCGCACGCTGTCACCGAGGCCGAGTCGGAGCAATTAGACAGCAAGTCCCGCGCCATGATGGACCTCAACATGAAGCTCCAGATCTCGGCTGCCAAGACACAGGTCAAGACGATTGACCTGGAGCTTCGCCGTCTGGAGGCGCAAGAAGCGGAGCAACACCTCGAAATCGTCAAGCTCTTCTTGCCCGAGACCTACCAGGAGGACCGCGACTCCGTACTGGCGCTCCTTCGCTTCAAGCGACTGGCGTTCAAGGCCACTCTGCTCCAGGGCTTCGTCAAGGAAGGGCGTCACGGGCCAGGCGCACCCCGGCCATGAGGCCGACATGTTTGCCGGCTGCGATGCCATTGACAAGCTCACCTGGGTGGCGGCCATGTGCGGCCGCTTCATCAACGCCATCAGTCATTGCTCGATCGAGCAGTTCCAGCACTACAGGGCGCTCTGTTTGAGCTGGAGCCGGTGGAGCGGGCGGTGAACGGCTGGATTGACGGCCTCAGGAGGGGTGAACTCAAAGGAGGCCAAGTGCGCCAGCGAGCTGCAGCGCTCTATTGCGCTCATGACCCATCTCGCCGAAGTTCACCTCACGGAAGATCTGCAAAGCTTCGCCGACGCCATGCACATGCGCGCTCTCGTCGTGCAAAGCCATCTGGATTCGGCCGCTGCGGCCATTACGACCGCCAGGGGCATGGTCCAGAGGGTTGTTCCCGAGTCTGGCGAGGACGACGAGATGGCACAACACTTCAGCAAGAAGGCCGAGCACGTTGTCGGCCAGACACGCAGCACCAAGGTCATTGCCAGCAAGGCCGTGCGCGCTCTCGAGGATCTCAAGAACCGATCTCTCTCGCTGGCTCGAGACGACAGCACGGAAGAGGCGTTTGAGCAGTGCGAAGAGGCCGCAAAGGATCTCGCCGCACTGGCGCGCCAGATTGGTCTCGACTTGCACAAGCTGCTGCATGAGGAGGGCAGGACCGAGCCATACACGCACGTGGAGGTGCAGAACACGATGGCGCAGACGGCCCTGTCGGCCGGTTCGTCGACCGACTCGGATCTCTTCTCGACCTACGTGACCAAGCTCCGGGTCGTCACGCAGCAGATTACGGACCTTGCCGGCCTCAGTTCTGACCTGACGCAGACGCAAGAGTTTGAGCTCAACCCGGCCCCCTGGAAGCTCCGCTCCCAAGAACTCAAGGCTCTCAAGACGATCCCTGTGGATGCCGAAGAGGAGCTCCGCCGCGTCAAGGAGGAGCACAACGAGGCGCGCCGCACGATTGCGCAGCGCGACGAGAGCCTCAGCACAGCGACGCTCAAGATTGAAACGCTCGAGTCCCGCATGCGCGACGCACACCAAAAGGCGTCGCGCATCGCCGACCTCGAGCCCAGATCGAGACGGCCAAGCAGCGCGCGCGGCGCTCAAGGGAGGACATAGAAAAGGGCGACCGCGAGCTCAAGGCGCTCGAGGCGGACC